ACAAGGTCTTGCTACATTGCCCTGGCTGGTCTCAAACTCCTGGCCTCAAGTGATCTTCCTGCCTTGGAATCCCAAAATTTTGAGCTTACAGGTGTAAGCAACCTGGCCTCAATCCTGTGTTTTCATTAGCCCACCCAAGAAACCCAAACTAGGGCAGGATGAAGCTATGTATCTCATTTCATAGATGAGAAAACTAAGGCTCAGGGTGCTAAGGGACTTGTCCAAGGTGACACGCCAACTATGTGCTAGAAGATAATAATAATTTTTTTTTTTTTTTTTTGAGACAGAGTCTTGCTCTGTTGCCCAGGCTGGAGTGCAGTGGCATGATATCGGCTCACTGCAACCTCTACCTCCCGGGTTGAATCAGTTCTCCTGCCTCAGCTTCCTGAGTATCTGGGTTACAGGCAACTGCCACCACACCCAGCTAATTTTCGTATTTTTAGTAGAGATGGGGTTTCACCATGTTAGCTAGGCTGGTCTCGAACTCCTGACCTCAAGTGATCTGCTTGCCTTGGCTTCCCAAAGTGCTGAGATTACAAGTGTGAGCCACCATGCTCAGCCTGGAAGATCTACCCTGAATTCTGATCTTCCAACTCCTAAGCTTTTCCCACTGGTCTAAGGATGCCTTGCTATCATGTCAGTCACCAAGGAATCCCCTCAAGTGTGGCTCAGTGTCACCAGGATGAGTGTCTTCACCAGGAGGTATGTACAAGGCTCTCTCTCAACATGGGAAGAGGTGGCTGCTGACTGCTGATAGGCAATTTCCCTTGTACCTCTAGTGTCTTCTTCAGAGTGGAGATGTTTTCACTGCAGACTTCCACATTGTTCAGAGTCACCTGGGAGATGAGGAAGGAAGAATGTGACTTCCTGCTGACTGTGCCTGCTACCCACTCCAATGCCAGACTGGCTGACAGCTGTGCTCCACGAGGATTAGAGAAGGACTGGCTGGAGTTTAGACTTCAGCTAATGAAAGGCCACACCTCTGCATCAGGCAGGACACTCAGATCTTGGATCAGGCAGAATGGGGAACCAGGCTTGCCCTTTCTGGTTGCCTGATGCCAGGGAGCCTAAAGTCATGGTCTTTAGGTCTTTTTGTACTGTTACCTACAGATCAGAAATGACTCAGGCATACAGGTCTGGGATAAGTTCTGAGGCTCCAAATGGCCAAGCCCCAGATCAGTGATACAAAGCCTGACATTCATTGAAGAAAAACTTCCAGAGATCCTGCCACCTATGAGGCATTTTCTCATTCTTTATCTCATGGAATCTGCCAAATATCCCCCACAGAACAAGCATTAACAAGCCCAGTGCATGGGAGGAAATGAGACTCCTCATTTCTTCAGAAGGCAAATGATTTGGCCAGGTGTGGTGGCTCACACCTATAATCCCAGCACTTTGGGAGGCCGAGGTGGGTGGATCACCTGAGGTCAGGTGTTCAAGACCAGCCTGGCCAACATGGCGAAACCCTGTCTCTACTAAAAATACAAAAAAAGTAGCCAGGCATGGTGGTGCACACCTGCAGTCCCAGCTACTCGGGAGGCTGAGGCAGGAGAATCGCTTGAACCCAGGAAGCAGAGGTTGCAGTGAGTTAAGATTGCACCATGGGACTCCAGCCTGGGGGGACAGAGCGAGACTCTGTCTCAAAAAAAAAAAAAAAAAAAAAAAAGGTAAAATGAGTCATCAAGGTCAGACAGCAACTGATTCAGCAAATATTTACTGAGCACCTGGATGTGCCAGGCATGGTTCTAGGCACTGAAGAGAAGGCAATTAACAAAACAGACATGGTCTGCCCTCACAGGGATAACATTCCAGCCAGGACGCCAGATAGTAAACAAATGCATTATATAATGCCAGGAAGAATAATAAAGCAGGATAAGGGACAGACACTCAGAGTGGCAAGGGCACAAAGCTGGAGCCAGGCTTAGAATTCACGTCTCTGAGCTTCCAGGAGAGTGGCCACCCCGGGAGGGCATGGCCACTCTCCACACCCCTTTCCCCAAAATTCACCCTATTCATCTCTTCATCTGTATCCTAGATAATATCCTTTATAATACACCAATAAACTAAAAAAAAGAATTTTGATCTCCCTACTCTGGTCCAAAGACGACTTCTTTCATAGCTCAACTGCCTTACAGAATAGGTGCAGAAATACCAATGATAAAAGTAGTATGGGCATGGCGGCTCACACCTGTAATTCTAGCACTTTGGGAGGTCAAGGAGGGCAGATCACCTGAGATCAGGAGTTCAAGACAAGCCTGGCCAATATGGTGAAACCCCATCTCTACTAAAAATACAAAAATCAGCCAGGTGTGGTGGCAGGCACTTATAATCCCAGCTACTTGGGAGGCGGAGGCAGGAGGATCGCTTGAACCTGCAAGGCAGAGGTTGCAATAAGCTGAGATTGCACCACTGCATTCCAGCCAGGGCAACATGAGTGAAACTCTGTCTCCAGTAAAAAAGAAAGTAGCATGGGGCAAAAAATATTAAGGCACTAATTGCTCTGGCCATTTGGAGGAAAGAACAAACTGTTTCAGTGTGAGGAAACTAAGGAAGGTTCCATGGCAGAGGTGGTAGCTGAGCTGAATTAACATAAAGGAGTGGAACATAAGCTCTGCGCAGTGGCAGTATTGTAGCCAATGAGGTTTATCCGAGGCATGATTATTCCTAATTGAAAACTTTTCCCAATACCCCGCCATGACGACTTACAATATAGTTGGCATTGTCAATTTTTGACAGTCTCTACAGAGACTTAAAAAAAAAAAAAAAACATAATTCTGACAGGGGATAAAGGTGAGAACATTTCTCCACCCCATCAGCCTCTCTCTTGTTCACTGTTTATTTATTTATTTTTCTTTTCTTTTTTTAAAAAGAGATGGGGTCTTGCTATGTTGCCCAGGCGGGAGTGCAGTGGCTATTCACAGGCGCGATCCCACTACTGATCAGCACGGGAGTTTTGACCTGTTTTGCTTCCGACCTGGGCGGGTTCACCCCTCCTTAGGCAACCTGGTGGTCCCCTGCTCCCAGGAGGTCACCTTATTGATGCCAAACTTAGTGCAGACACCCAATCAGCAGAGTGCACTACAGCCTAGAACTCCTGGACTCAAGCAATCCTCCAGCCTCAGCCTCCCAAGTAGCTGGGACTACAGGCACATGCCACTGCGCCTGGCCCTATTTGATATTTTCTTAACAGTCCTTAGGATTTCCCGACATTCTCTGGTTTATCTGTTTGTGGTCTGCACAGATCTGGCCTGTTTTCTTCATCACTGCATCTCTATATAGCACTGTTTACCTTTCCGGATGATGGAAATAATTCTAACTGCAATGTCTGGTATGGTAGCCCCCAGACATGTGTGGCTATTGGGCACCTGAAGCATAGCTAGTGCAACTCAGGAAGTGGATTTTTAATTTAAATGTAAATTTCAATAGCCACCTGTAGCTCTAGAACCCAGAACAGTGCCTGATATACAGACATTCCTCAATAAATATTTGTGGCTTCAGGAAGAGAGTGAATGAACATACTCTGGAAAGGGGATAATATAAGCAAATGCAGAATGGCAGAAAACCCAAAAAGGTATCTGGGAGATAGTGCAGTCAGTTCATAGACACGTGCAGGGAAGTGGCAGGACATAGAGCTGCAAGGGGCAGAGCCTGATGGGGACTTGGGTGCTCTGCTGCAGAGTTACCTCTGTGGACAGTGGGCTGGCACTGAGGATTTTTAAAGCAGTGAATCCCATATGAGCACAACTGTCATTTGGGAATACTCATCTAGAGGCCATGTGTGGGAGGAATTAGAGGGCCTGGGGATCACTGCCTGTGAACTGGTGTGCTGGTGGCATGATCAGCAAGGCAGGGTTGAGGTAAGGAGGACCCAGTCTTCGAGACGTGAGTCAGGAGCTTTAGGATTTCAGGGTAAAAGGAGGATCTCACAACCCCAGGGGCTGCAATTAGGAAGTCCCTCTCATCTTCCCGAGTGTTTCCCTTGTCAGTGTCCTGTAGTCAATGCTGAAAGTTATGATGCTTACAGTGCTGCTCAGGCCACTCTGATTGTGGACAGATAAGCCTAAAGGTCTTTCTTTAATATACCACAACAAAAGGCTGATCATGTCACAAGTTTCCAAGTAACTCCTGTCGTGACAGCTGAAGGATGAAGGCCATAAGTGTTTTCAAGAAATTTAAGAGCACCAAGAATAACTGTCATAATGGACTTATGGATTTGAGTCCAAATGGTATTGATTTCAAAGTTTCCCTTGTACTGACAGCCCTAGTAAGCATGGATTCACTGGGCTTATTCCATGCCCACGGTGCATGATGTCAGTATGGCTGGGGAATTCATCTCGACAGTCAAATGAATCAAGGTGACATAAAAAAATAGGCCCTGAAATGGGAGTGATGACATTTTATTTATTTATTTTTTTTTGGGACGGAGTTTCGCTCTTGTTACCCAGGCTGGAGTGCAATGGCGCGATCTCGGCTCACCGCAACCTCCGCCTCCTGGGTTCAGGCAATTCTCCTGCCTCAGCCTCCTGAGTAGCTGGGATTACAGGCACGCACCACCATGCCCAGCTAATTTTTTGTATTTTTAGTAGAGACGGGGTTTCACCGTGTTGACCAGGATGGTCTCGATCTCTTGACCTCGTGATCCACCCGCCTCGGCCTCCCAAAGTGCTGGGATTACAGGCTTGAGCCACCGCGCCCGGCGAGTGATGACATTTTAAATACATGGTGTCAGGAAAACCAAAAACCTGTCACCAAGCATTTGGCATTGCCTTTCTTCTTGGTCTTATCTTCTGGGGCCTCAAACAATGCAACTGTGTTGATGGGAGGTCCTCACAGAGCAAGCATGCCACTGGCTGGTTTTAGAGATGTGTTGCCAAGTGGTGGAACACAGAACTGGAAAGGTGGGATGGGTTAGATTTAGGAGGCTTAAACAAAGACATCTAGCTTTGATGTGGCAGGCAGCAAGGAGCCAATGATTATTTTTGAGCACAGAAGTGAAGTAAGTTCTGTAAAAAAATGAAAGAATACAAACAAGATAAAAAACGTAAGTCAGTTCACGATCATATGATGCTGGTTGCTAGGCATTTTGGCAAAGTTCTCCAAAGGTAACAAATTTCACAGGCAACAGTTCTTTGGAGCTGACCCGTTTTTGGTAGCAACCATATCCTTGATTGATAGAAACCATGCCCAGGGCAAATATTTTCTCTGACAGGAAGAGAGTGGGGCTGCTTAAATAGCTTTTGCATTGAATCTGTCTGATAACCAGTTACTGTCGGTTCCTCTGCACAGGGGTTGGCAGGTATTAGCAAGTTTAGGCTTCTGTCTCTGAAAGTAACAACTCTGAACTCTTTTGGAGGTCACAGACCCTTTTAAGAATCTGATAGCTGGGTATAGTGGCTTACGCCTGTAATCCCAGCACTAAGGCAGGTAGATCACTTGAGGTCATGAGTTTGAGACCAGCCTGGCCAACATGACAAAACCCCAACTCTGCTAAAAATACAAAAATTAGGCCAGGCGCGATGGCTCATGCCTGTAATTCCAGCACTTTGGGAGGCTAAGGTGGGTGGATTGCCTCAGCTCGGAAGTTCGAGACCATCCTGGCTAGCATGGTGAAACCCCGTCTCTACCAAAAATACAAAAAATTAGTCGGGTGCGGTGGCGTGTGCTTGTAGTCCCAGCTACTCGGCAGGCTGAGGCAAGAGAATCACTTGAACCCAGGAGGCGGAGGTTGCAGTGAGCCGAGGTCATGCCAGTGCATTCCAGCTTGGGCGACAGAACGGACTCCGTCTCAAAAAAAAAAAAAAAAATTAACCGGGTGTGGCAGTGCATGCCTGTAATCCCAGATACTCAGGAGGCTCAAGCAGGAAAATCACTTGAACCCGGGAGGTGGAGGTTGCAGTGAGCCAAGATCGTACCATTGCACTCCAGCTTGGGCAACAAGAGTGAGGCTCTATCTCAAAAAAAAAAAAAAAAAAAAGAATCTGATAAAAGCTAAGAACCCTGTGTCCAGAAAAACGGATGTGCATATTTTTGCATCTAACCCCAGCCGTAGACTACAGATTTACAGCTCTGCTACTAGATGTTTCTTTCAGGCTCTGAGCCTCAAGAGTAAAGACTCAGAATGTGGCTAATGTGGGGGAGGGAGGAGAATGGACCTTGGTCTGTGCCATTCCTGTGCATGCTAAGACAGCGTGAGCCAGAGAGGGCTGATCTTGAGCTTAGGACTCATTTATGTTCTCTCTGTCTCATCATAAACTGGCTGTTGCTTTATACAAATCTTTTCGTCCTTCCATGCTTCTCCTTTCCAAGCTGTCACACAATAGTAAGACTTGCTGCTTTATCGTATCTGTCATTCTGGGTAGCAAAGGGCTTTAATAAGGCCTCCTTTCCAAAGGAAATTGAAAGCCTAAGATGTGCTAGTAGAGCAATGCTGGCAGGCTGGGAGGACTGGCGCCCACTCATGCTGCAGGCCTCTGCTCAGAGAAGCAGTCTGGTGCCTGGCACAGATGGTGCTGTTGGTTCTGCGGCAGATGCAAGCCAAGCTTGACACTCAGTAGGCTTCCGAGCAGCTGGGCAGTGCTCTGGGGAAAGAATGCTAGGTGACAGCTGGGCAGCCTAGCCTCTATCCTAGCTCAGGCTGCTCAGAGTATGTCCCTGAGTAAGAAATGGTTTCAGAACCTTCTAGGAGGAACTTTCCTTAAAGGAGGAGTTTTCCTTCTATATAAACACTGGAGGAAAAGTCTCTAGCTAGAGGCCTATTATATTGTGGCTCAGCAGTCATAATGTAATCTCTCGAGATAAACCAACCCAGCTCGTGAGCTGTGGGCTACCTACCAGGAAGGACAGCTTCGCTTCATCAGTACTCTCGATGCCTTTCGTGTCAAATTTGCCCTGCTGGAGGCTGCTGTGCATGATGTTCACAGCACTTGTCACCCCGCGCTGGATGTCCTGGAAGGTGGTTGCCGGGAAGCCCATCCGCAGCTTGTTGCACAGAACATCCCTGGGGGGGCAGGAAGGCATAGAGGGATTGACACTACTCAACTTGGCTTCCAGGACAGAAGGGCCAGAGCGTCCACCACCCTGACCCAGCAGCACAACGTACTCTTTTAGGGGGAATAACCAGTCCTTGAGACCACTGTAGGAGACCTGAGGAGCCAGTGTATGAAAGTGACCAGCACCCACTCAAGGACACTGATGTGACAAGAACATACAGAGGAGACTGGCCAATCTCTACTGTTTATGAGGCTTTTAGCCATCACCACTGCACTCCAACAAATAAAACCGTGAGGCTTAGTGAAGGCAGTACTACGTAGGAGTTGAGAACAGGTTTTGAGTTACTCAGCTTTGAATTCCACCTCTTACTAAGTGGTGGATCTTTGACGAGGATGGAATCTCCCTAAAGCCCAGTTTCCTCATCTATAAAACAGAGCTAATAGTTCCTACCTCATAGGGTTGTTAGTAGGACCTCAAAAGAGGAGGAGAATAGCATAGTGCTCGGCCTGTAGCAATGGTACCTACTACAACTACTGCTTTCATCTGAACTGCCTGTTCTCTTTCCTACATCTAAGGGCTCATAGCCCCTTCAGTCTAGTCCAGAGAACAGAAATTTGGCCCACAAGATATCTGGCTGATCAATAGCTTCCTGGAGCCAAGGATACTGTTTTAGGGACAGGAGCTTATGTCCTATATAGAATTGAGCTAGAATCATGAGGACAAAGGGCAGAAACAAACGGGCCTCAGGAATCAACAAGGGCCTTTCTGCCTGGAAAGGAGAAAGGGAGTCAACTGTACCTGAAGTCAGACTCCAGCTCTGTGGTGGCGAGGTTGATCATGGCACAGAGACAGTCGATGCTAGAGCTGGACAGAGCCCGCCCAATGCACTTCTTAACAATGTAGAAGACATCATCCACCATGCTGGATGTCAACTGGCCCTTCTCATAGGTGTCCAGAGCAACAGCCTACCCAAAAGGCAAAGCCAACACTGAGGGTCCCAGGTCTACATGTCACATTTTACATAATTCTGGGTACACTGGCCCTAGCTCTGCTCCCTTTTCTGTACCTGCTCCCTTTTCTGTACCTGCTCCCTTTTCTGTCCATGTTTCTCCCAACATGGCATGTTCTGGTCATAGATTGGCATGCATCCTCCTTGTCAAAATAGTTCATTTCCCTATTGATCACTAGGTGAAGGAATTAAATACTTTGGGCCTTAGTCTTGTGGAGATCCATTACTTGAGGTGTAAGACATCTGCAGAGGCCCTACTTCCCTGAAGTTCCTTAACCACATACCTTCAGGGAGGTGGGGAATAAGTGGGTTCCCTGAAGAGCTGAGCTGAGCTGTTCTTTTGTAATTCTTGGGGAAGAAGTCCTAACTAGGTATACAAAGAGCACAACGACTCCAAAGATGCTCTTTAACCATAAAAAGTGGTACCACTCAATCTACATGCAAGGGTATTCTCAAAGCAGGACCAAGAAATATGACATGCCTCAGCCATTACCTTCAGCCTGGCTTCTTGGACCGGAAGCCCCATTTTCAAGAGGTACGTCCTATGTCCTACCTTATTGACAGTCTCCCTCATGAAGTACTCCTCCATGGTAATATATAAGCCAATCAGCTCCTGCATGGTACAGCTCAAAAGGCAGTTATTGAGGAGTTTGTCCAGACACTTCTGGTGCTCTAGGGGACAGTGAAGAAAGGAATACTCACTTTTTCTTCCCCAAGGGAAACAGAGAAACTTTTTTCATTTTTTCAGGTCTTTCTTCCAAATATGTACATATTTTACATGGTTATAATCATGATACAGATAGCAATTTTGTATTCTGATTTAAAAAAATTATATCATAAATATTTTCCATGTTTCCATCCACCTCACTAATTTTTCATGACTGTGGGATTTCATCAGGTGCATAATTCACATTTTAAAAACGACTTTTATTTTTAACTTTTTTGTTGTTTTATGTGAAATTGAGAAAAATAACCACTCTCTTTTTGGATACCTGGTTATTACCAAACGTTTTGCCATTACTGGAGATAATAAAAGATCACAATATTGGAGATTATAGTGAATACTTTTGTACAAATATCTTTTTACTCCTTTTATTCCTTTAGGATTAATAGGAGTCAAAAGATGGCAAAGACAAGAATATATTGGATATAGATTACTTCTTTTTTTTTTTTTAAACGGTTATTTTATCAGATTGTTTGAACATTAAATTTATCCTGTTTGCAATCCAAAATAGTTACCTGAAGTTTGCTGTTTTGTTTGTATGTGTGTTTACTTTTATTGTGTATTTGTTTTTCTAAACTCTTTGGCACAATTTTCTGGGGGCGTTCAGACTGCACAATACAAGTCAGGAGAGGGCGTTTTCTTTGTGCTGCCAATTCTGATCATTTAAATTTTGGTTTGTTTGGGTTGTGACTTATTTTGTTTTTGAAGTCTGCATTCTTTAGATTACTTCATTCTTTACACCAGTATTGTCCAGTAGAATTTCTGTGATAATGAAAATATTCTGGTCAGGTGTGGTGGCTCACACCTGTAATACCAGCACTTTGGGAGGCCAAGGTGGGAGGATCACTTGGGTCCAGCAGTTTGAGAACAGCCTGGGCAACACAGCAATACTCTGTCTCTAAAAAAATAAACAAACAACAACAAAAAAGAAAATATTCCATATCCGTTGTCTGATATCATAGCCACTAGCCATGGTAGTGATTGAGCACTTGAAATGTGAATGAATAGAACTGAGGAAATAAATATTTATATTTTTTTACTAAATTTTTTTTTCCAGAATCCAGGCGAGAAATATGAATTTAAAATTTTATTTAATTGTAATTAAATTTGAATTTGAATTTCAATTCACGAATGGCTATGTATGGAGAGCACAGTTCTGAACAGTGATAGTCATCATTGACATCAACAAGCAAACTCCAAATGAACACACAATCTCCTTCATACACTGATTCTGTAACTCCCCTGCCATGGATTTTTGGCACAAGCCATGCAGATGCCAAAGATGGTGGGTGGGTCTCAGGTCCCCAATCCGAGGAATCCTGCATGCATCTGCCCAGCAGAATTTTTTTTTCTTTTTTAACTCTTGCTTTAGTAGCCAGCAGGAATTAAATGGTTATCTTATAAACGTAGAGTCAATCTGTAAATGAAACCGGACTCTGGTATACCTTTTCAAAAAAATTTAAAAATGTATATTTTTTATTATTAATTTAATTTTTTAGAGATCAGGACTCACTATGTTGACAAGGCTGGTCTCGAACACCTGGGCTCAAGCGATCTTTCCTCCTCAGCCTCCCAAAGTGCTGGAATTATACATGAGCCACCACACCCAGCCAAAATTTTTATCTTTTAATATAGTGACAGAGTTTTGTCATACTGCTCAGGCTGGTCTTGAACTCTTGAGCTCAAGTGATTCTCCCGCCTCAGCCTCCCAAAGTGCTGGGATTACAGGTGTGAGCCACTGCACACAGCCCCCTTTCTTATCAATGTCAATTATTCCTTGAAAAACTGTAACTGGGGGAACTGATAGACTGAGAGGGGATGAGAGAATTCCTATACATTATATACTCTTTTTTTTAGACAGAGTCTCGCTATCAACCAGGCTGGAGTGCAGTGGTGCGATCTTGGCTCACTGCAACCTTTGCCCCCCAGGGTTCAAGCAATTCTCCTGTCTCAGCCTCCCAAGTAGCTGGGACTACAGGCACATGGCACCATGCTTGGCTAATTTTTGTATTTTTAGGAAAGACAGGGCTTCACCATATTGGTCAGGCTGGTCTCAAACTCCTAATCTCAGGTGATCCACCCACCTCGGTTTCCCAAAGTACTGGGATTACAGACGTGAGCCAGTGTGACTGGCCAACATATTCTTTTTTTTTTTTTTTTTTTGTAAAAAAACACCTTATTGAAGTACAATTTATATCCCATAAAATTTAAAACAGAGAATCAATGTTCTCATCTGTAAAATGATTAGATGACCTCAAATATCTAGTCTAATTCTAAAATCCAGTAAATTTAGATTTCCTCCTGGGAGTCAATTTGCCTATAGACCACCAGGGGCTAATAAGTCCCAATTGTTTCCTTAATAAGAGATCTGTGGCTTAACCATTATGAAACACTGCCAATTATATCTCAATCCTCCCAAAAAATAGGGGAATTACTTTTACCTTGCTTTACTTCTTCTGAGGCCATGGAGTCCCCCACCTCAAAATCAGAGCTAATCCTCTTCCTGAGGAAACGTAAGTACAGCTCACTGCGGGCATTCATCAGGGTGACCTCAGTCAGGATGGGGTCCAGTTCTCTGAGACACATGGAGCAGAAGGAACAGGAGGACAATGGATTCCCTTAGACACAGAGCTAGAGGGCAAACAGAGTTCCAAATTCCCCCTCCCCACTGGGCCCATAAGGATTGGCTCTGCCAGATGGCCCTCCAGGCTCTGCTGGCCCAATTAGAATCAGAGATAGCTGTCAACCACATTTTCCATAAATATCTGTTTCACCTAAATTATCCCCTAAAATTCTGCCAGAGGTAAATAAAAGGTTGGGAGCTGTGTTTTCTTTTTGAGACAGAGTCTTGCTCTGTTGCCCAGGCTGGAGTGCAGTGGCACAATCTCAGCTCACTGCAACCTCCGCCTCCAGGTTCAAGTGGTTCTCATGCCTCAGCCATATGAGTAGCTGGGATTACAGATGTGTGCCACCATGCCCGGCTGATTTTTGTATTTTTAGTTGAGAAGGGGTTTCACCATGTTGACTAGGCTGGTCTCGAACGCCTGGTCTCAAGTGATCCTCTTAAAGTGCTGGAATTATGGGCATGAGTCACAGCACCTGGCTTCTTTTGTGGTTTGAATAAAGATTATCTATGTCTCATGTGAAAGAAAACTCCTCAATCTCTAATTTAGCCCTGAGGATGTTAGGAAATACCATTAAACTGTGCCCTACACCCATTCATTTATCCGGATAAATAGCAAAAATAATCTTGAAAAAAACAAAGTTGGAGGAATCCCACTTCCTGATTTTGATTTCAAAACTAACTACAAAGCCACAGCAGTCAAGACTGTGGTACTGGCATATGGATAGATATATGGATTAATGGGGACAGAATTGTGAGTCCAGATGATTGACTGATTTTCAATGAGTACTGGGACAATTCAATAAAGAATGAAGGGTCTTTTCAGCAAATTTTGCTAGGATAACTGAGATCCACATGAAAAAGCAGCAAGTTGAACCCTACCTCACAAGATATACAAAAATTAACTTCCTTTGCACACCGAAGTCCAAGAGATCTTTTCTTTTCCCTCCCTCCCTCCAACCTTCTTTCCTCTCTCTCTCTTTTTCTTTTTTCTGAGATAAGGTCACCCTCTATCTCCTAGGCTGGAGTACAGTGGCACAATCGTAGCTCACTGCAGGCTAAATTTCCCTGGGATCAGGCAATCCTCCACCTCACCCTCCCAAGTAGCTGGGATTATGGGAGTGTGCCACCACGCCCAACTAATTTTTGTGTTTTTAAAAATTTTTTGAAGCACTGTGGTTTGTATAATTTTTGTATTTTTGATATTTTTGTATTTTTGATAGAGACCAGTTTCCCCATGTTGTCCATGTTAGGACTACAGGCAGGGGCCACCTTGGCACCTGGCCCAAGAGATCTTCACAAACATAAATCTGGTCATACCATATAGTTTCCATTCCTCTCAGAATATAAGACTCTGAACAGCCTGACTCTAATGATCTCTCCATATCCACCATTTCAGGCTCTCCCCTATTCTTTGCACTTCAGCTACACTGGCCTTTTAGTTTTTAAAATACCCATGAGCTTTGCACATGCTTTCCTTGCACTATCTGGAACACTCCTCACATCTGACTCCTACTTACTCTTAAGGTCTCAGATCATTTCCTTAGGAATTCTTTCTTCAATTTTCCCAGATTAGGCCACATGCCTTTATGCCATGCTCTCCTACACCCTACACTTAGTGTATCACAGTGGCTGACGGCATCCACTCTAGTGTCAGACTGCTTGGACTCCATTTCTCACTCTGCCACTTTCTAGCCGCATGACCTTGGGCAAGTCAATTGACCTCTCCAGGCTTCAGTTTCTTCATCTGTAAAATGTTTATGGATTGAATTAATGATTTTCTACTGAGGGCATTTTATTCCCAGCTCCCCCATTCCACTACCCATATCCCGCTGGGGTCTTTTAGCACCCAGTGGATAGAGGCCAGGGACGCTTCTATGCTGTTCTATACAATGCATAGAACAGTCCCTGCTAACAAAAAATTATCCAGTCAAGGCCAGGCACAGTGGTTTACGCCTGTAATATCAGTACTTCGGGAGGCTGAGGTGGGCAGGTCACCTGAGGTCAGGAGTTCGAGACCAGCCTGGCCAACATGGTGAACACCTCTCTCTACTAAAATTAGCCAGGCGTAGTGGTGAGCGCCTATAATCCCAGCTACGCAGGAGGCTGAGGCATGAGAACTGCTTGATCCTGGGAGGTAGAGGCTGCAGTGAGCTGAAATTGTGCCACTGTACTCCAGACTGGGTGATGGAGTGAGACTCTGTTTAAAAAAAAAAAAAAAAAATTATCCAGTCAAAATGCACAGAGGTTAAGAAACCTTAGATTAAATGATTGAAATTTGTTAAGTGTTTAAATTTGTCAAGTGTTTAGAACAGTGTCTGGCATATAGTTGATACTACGCATGTGTTAGCTATGGTTATTATCTGTCTACTTCGCAGACCATAGGTGCCACGAAGACAGAATTATGTTTGTTTGCTCACTTTGCTTGCTGCCATATCAAGGACCAGTATCTGGCCCAAAGTTTTACTCAGTAAAACTTTGTTGATTGAATGAATACATTTTAAGTTTAGATTTTCTTTTAACAAGCATATGTTATTTTTATTATAAAAAAGTAAAAGTTTGGCTGGATTACAGTGGCTCACACCTGTAATTCCAGTGCTTTGGGAGGCCGAGGCCAGAGGATCACTTGAGGTGAGAGGTTTAAGACCAGCCTGGGCAACACAACAAGCCCTCATCTCTACAAAAAAACAAAAAAATTTAGCTGGGAGTGGTGACTGTAATCCCAGCTACTCAGGAGGCTGAGGTCGTAGGATCACTTGAGTCCACGAGTTGGTGGTTGCAGTGAGCTGTGATTGTGCCACTGTACCACTTCACTCCAGCCTGGAAAACAGACCCTGTTTCTAAAAAAAAAAAAAGGGTAAAACTTTAAAATTTTAGGATAGTAGTTACCTTTGCAGGAGGGAAGGAGGAGAGTCACTTTGGGGGCTTCAAAAGTGTAGCCATGCTACATAAGAACATTTTGGTCAAAAATGAACTGCTGGGCCGGGCATGGTGGCTCATGCCTATAATCCCAGCAATTTGGGAAGACTTTGGGAGGTGAGAGGATCACCTGAGCCTAGAAAGTCGAGATTAGCTTAGGCAACATGGCAAAACCTTGTCTCTACAATAAAAAATACAAAAATTTGCCCATCGTGGTGGTGTACACATATGGTCCCAGCTAATTGGGAGGCCAAGGTGGGAGGATTGTTTGAGCCCAAGAGGTCAAGGCTGCAGGGAATCAGGATCATACCACTGCACTGCACTCCAGCCTGGACTGCAAAGCAAGACCCTATATCAAAACAAAAACAAAAACAAAAGCAGAAACAAACCCCCCCCAAAAACTGTATCTATATACACAATAGTGGTCCAGTAATATAATACTGTATTTTCACTGTACCTTTTCCATGTTTAGATACACAAATACTTACCATTGTCTTACAATTGCCTAAAGTAGTCAGTACAACAATATGCCATTCAGGTTTATGGCCTAGGAGCAATAGGTTGTGCCATATAGCCTAGGAGTGTAGTAGGCTAAGTACACCCTGTGATATTCAAACAATGAAAATCGCCTAAGATGTTTCTCAGAATGTATTGCAGTTGTTGGTGGGGTGTGGTGGCTCATGCCTGTAACACCAGCACTTTGGGAGGCTGAGGTGGATGGATCACCTGAGGTCAGGAGTTCGAGACTAGCCTGGCAAACATGGCGAAACCCTGTTTCTACTAAAAAATACAAAAAATTAGCCGGGAGTGGTGGTACACTCCGGTAGTCCCAGATACTTGGCAGGCTGAGGCAAGAGAATTGCATGAAACTGGGAGGCAGAGGCTGTAGTGAGCCAAGATCACACTACTGCAATCTAGCCTGGGTGACAGAGTGAGACTGTCTCAAAAAAAAAGTATTCTAGTCATTAAATGACATGTGACTGCACTGATTATGACTTACTACATATTTAATTTATATATACTTTTATTCATGATACATTCCACTGAAAAATAAGAGTAATTGATAAACATTTTAAAAACATAGACCACATTGTAACACAGTAGTCTGAATCATACATGATTACCAATTCAAACTCTTGTGTGCTGAAGAAGAGAGATGGATTATTACCTTGGTTCAATTTTTTCTGTTGTAGAATTTCTCATCAAGTTGTTCTGAACATGCCGGAACTGCAATATACCACAGGAATGAGAATACTCTTCCCCACCCCACCATCTACTGGCCTCTTGCTGGTCACTTCAAACTTATGGCAAACAAGAATGTTTAGGTTTAGTTTGCTTACTAGGCTTACCTTTCCTTCAAGCCAGCAGTGGGCTTTCAGGATGACAGGCCAAAGATTTGTTTTTGGGTTGGATGCTAATAATACTCACCTCTATTACTGTGCTTAAAAGTCATACTAATGGTGTTCCAATAGACTACTGTCTACAGTCTCCTAGTCTGGAGGTTCTAGAAATACAATTGTATGAGGCCACTCCTATTTTTATGTCCTACTTTTACTTTCTCTGCTCAAAGAAAGGAACAAATAAAGTCCTGAAAAAGTAAACGTTATCTTTAACATCTAAGGAATGAAGGGAAAATTGGAGACAATTACTTGGACACTTAATACCACCTCAAGTAATAGAATTGTCATTATATCACCAGAGGGCAATGGTGCACATTTTATGATAGAGAATTGGTCTACCACTTCTGTTGTGTTCCTTTCAGGATGCCCCTTTTATTTCCTTCTCAATCTTGAACTGAAGCCACCATCAACTCAACAACACCAGGGTCTAGCTCAATCCTTTTGGCCACTACACTTTCTGATATGAACACAAATAGGCCTAATCAATGCTAGGGGTTGCTAAGCAAATATGTTAAACACGCAGAGTGCTTGGTACACCAGCAGGAATTTGGTAAGTTACACTGATACTGTTTTCTATAGCAGCATCTTTGGAAATCAGCATCACTTGCTTTCCAGCAAGTCCAAAGTAAGCTGGGAATGGCCAAGATGCAGGCCAGTCTGCACTCAGCATTTATTTTTCTCTTGTTTGCACCTTTTTTCATTTTTTCCCCTCCAATTTATTCTACTCAATGTTCCTGGCTAAAACTGCTACCAAACCCCACCTGTAGCTTCCCCTGCTCACCTGCTGGTGGTAGTCCCTTTGTTTGATGAACTTGTCTACCACCTTATCCACCTGTCTGTCACATTCCACCTGCAGATATTTGATCAGGGTATACAGTCTCCCCGGCCCATAATAGGTCTCCACTATTGGTTGGTGGGTCTCCACAATGCGGGCAATCCCTACAATGGAGGAAGCAAGAGGGTTGTATTCCAAGTATTCTTCTCATAACTTGCTCCCATCTGAGATTAAACCAGGGTCTAGCTCAATCCTTTTGGCCACTACACTTTCTGATATGAACACAAATAGGCCTAATCAATGCTAGGGGTTGCTAAGCAAATATGTTAAACATGCACAGTGCTTGGTACACCAGCAGGAATTTGGTAAGTTACATTGATACTGTTTTCTACAGCAGCATCTTTGGAAATCAGCATCACTTGCTTTCCAGCAATTTATTTTAGGATTAAATTTATTCTTACAGAGTTTGGGGCTTGTGGATTAGGCAGGATCAGAATACTGGAGATACTCTAATCTTTGCTAATAAGGCACTGAATCTGGAAGTTATTTAATTATCCAACCAATTAAAACACAGCAAACTACATGATTCAATTAGAGCCATCAGGCTAGAAGGGTGAGAAGAAAGGGTAGGATGCAGGTGTCATACAGAAATGTCTCTAGTCTCTCTAGAGTGGAGAAAGAGGCTCACCTTCAAACAGAAGAGTAAGTGTATCTGCAAAGATGACTGCAGCTCTCCGATCACTCATGTCTGTCCCCAGCACCAAGAGTAGATTCTCCTCAGCTTTACTGGCCACCTAAAACAGGGGAAAACTCACATACATTTCTCAGAAAGGCCAGCCTTACACCAGGTATGTCTCAGTTTTCCAAAGAGGCCTCCCATTGGCTTTTTTTTTTTTTTTTTTAACATTTCTCTTGATGTTTGGAAGCCTAGGCAGCACAGAGGAAACTCCCTTGAGGGACAATGGGCTGTCTGAGCCTCAGGCAGGACAAGAAATATGGGCATGTTGGTAGCTCTTCTTCCATTATTTCCTCCTCATGGAAAATATGGACTGCCATTAGCCAAGGGAGAGAGTCCCCAGTTTCAACAATCTTCTCAAAGTGTAGCTTTCTATCATTTTTAAAAATAAAAGACAGGGTCTCACTCTGTTGCTCAGGCTGGAGTACAAGGGAGCCAAAGTCATAGTTCACTGTGGCCTTGATCCTCTCACCTCAGCCTCCTGAGTAGCTGGAACTACATGCAAGAGCCATCATGCCAGGCTAATTTTTAAAAAATTTCTGTAGAGATGGGGTTTTTCTATGTTGTCCAAGCTGGTCTTGAACTCCTGGTCTCAAGTAATCCTCTTGCGTCAGCCTCCCAAAGTGTTGGAATTACAGGCATGAGCCATTATGCTTGGCATGTTATCATTAACAGCAGTTTGTCAAGCAGGACAAAACCCGGGTACTGCAGAAGGGGTTTTTACTGGATTAAAGGTAGAAGCCATTTCTAGATCCCAGGTGGCAAAGTACCATAAGATTAAGAAAAAGTACCATAGAGCTGTTGTATTTTGTTTTTAATTAATTTTTTAGAATGAGTAAAACGCACACTTAAACATTCAAAAGGAACAAAGGAATGTTCAGTGAAAAGTGGTTCTTCCTCCAACCTGTGTCTCTTAAGTTCCCAATTTTCTTCAGAGGTGACCATTATTAACCTTTCCAAAATAAACCCTATGCTTATACAAATATATCTTGACTGCTAACTCCCTCATTTTAAACAGGAATGACAACATATTATTTTGTACCCTGTTTAACAAGCCACATGTTAAAAAATAAAATATGTCAGCACTTAGGGAATGGTCTCATTTTTCTTAACAGTAGAATAATGGTCTGATAGAGAATTTTTGGTGAGAGGGGAGTAGACACAGAGACATATAGCTAAAAAATGGCTGAGTGGGTGGTAGGTCTAGGACTTTGGGAGGCAGCCTGGGAAACACAGTGAGACTTTTTCTACCAAAAAAAAAAAAAAAAAAAAAAAAATTAGCAGGGCATGGTGGCATGTACCTGTAGTCTCAGCTACTTGGGAGGCTGAGGCAGGAGAATTTGCTTGAGCCTAGGAGGTCAAAGCTGCAATGAGCTGTGACTGTACCACTGCACTCCAGCTGGGCAACAGACCAAGATCTCATCTTGATCAATCAATCAATCAATCAAAACCCAACAAACCTCTGCACAAATGCTTGCTGGACTTGCTTCTCTGCATCTAAGGGGTGAGAGTAGGGAAGCCTTGAGACTTTAACCAAAGCGGGTTTCTTTATCAGGATTTAACCTTATATGGTCACCTCCTTCATCTCAATGTGGCTTATTCTGAGACTCAAGCTTGGTATTGAAAACCACTAACCACGAATTCCAATTGCTCTTAAAAGAAATCAGTTCCTTACTGACGGCTTGAAAAGAATGATTCAACTTGTCAGAAAACTTACATTTTAATTTCGTATGCTTTCACTTAGCATGTTGGAAATGAAAGTGCATTGGCAGATGTCTTGGCCATGCCTGGTACACAGCAGGCTGGCAACGGGTGTGCTGAATGAACACATGCATCCAGTCTTGCCAGCCTACACAGCAAGGCCAGAAAGAGGAGTCAATCCCAAAGAGATAAAGTATCCACAGAAACTGGATCCATCAAGTGCCCCAATCTGCAGGCAGAGAGTCACACAATTATACTGCCACGCAATCAGGGTCCATACCTGCTTGCAAAGGTATTCTGAGAACTTGCTTAATCCCTCCTCATGCAAACCCAGTAGTGGGAAGATCTTGAAGAAGCGCTCCACCTGGGGCAGATCACCTTCCTTGGTGGCAATGGCAAACTTCTCTGCTACAATGGCTTTGAGACGTTGCTCAGCTTCCTGCAGCAATTTCAGGTTGGCATCAATCATGCTCCCTGCTCAACGGGCAAAAAATGAAAGTTCAAGTAAAGAATGGTACGTGTCAGGTCCACGCCACTTTGTGTAATATTATGCATCCAACAAATATGTATTAAGCACTTACTATGTGTAAGATGCTGTGCTAGCAATATTTATAATTACAACATGAATCAGCCATGATTATACTATCACAGAAGTTAGGATTAAGTAGAAGAAAAAAAGTTTGTGCACAAATAATGATGATGAAATACAGTACACAATAAGTATCATAAGAAAGGTGCCAAAAGTCACATTTCTGGTTGAAGTAATCAGAAAAGGGTTCCTAGAGAAGGTGACATCCCACCTCTCGAAGATGGGCAGGATTCTGATACCTGCACAGGCAGAACAAACATTCCAGGCAAAGAGAATGAAATAACAGAAGGCAGAAAGATGAAAAGAATATCTGCAGAATATTGCAAGCAGCATGTTCCTTGGCATATGGAGGAGCTTGAGAAATTTTGCACAATGAATGGATGCATAAGTGAACACCATTAAACAAGGCTAGAAAGACAGAATGTGTAAAGATCACGGACGATCTAAAACAGGCTAAGAATTTCATTTTAAAAGTAGGCAATATGGTCAAGTGCAAAGAAACCACTGGCCAGAGAATCAGTAGATCTGGATTCAGTTTCCTTTTCCATAAAATGGGAATACAGTAGTCCCCTCTTATTTGTAGGGAATCCATTCCAAGACCATTATGGATGCTGGAAACCACAGACAATACTGAACCTAATATATACTATGTTTTTTCCTATACGTACGTACCTATGATAAAGTTTAATTTGTAAATTAGGCATAGTAAGAGATTAACAATAATATATAATAAAATAGAATAATTATAACCATATACCATGACAAAAGTTATATAAACGTGGCCTCTCAAAGTATCTTATTGTACTGTACTCACCCTTCTTGTGATGGGCAGACAGACAGGGTGGTACAAGATTTTATCACACTACTCAGAACAACAACCAATTTAAAACTAGTAAGATGTTTATTTCTGGAATTTTCACTTAATATTTTTGGACTGAGGCTGACCATGAGTAACTGAGGTTGCAGGTAACTGAAATGGCAGAAAGTGAAATCACACGTAAGGGGGCACTACTGTAACAAAACCAGCCCCAGGATGGTACAGGACCTACGTATGGCCTACCACCAGATAAAAAAACTTCCTGTCTGGGTTGGTGGCTCATGCCTGTAATCCCAGCTCTTTGGGAGGCTGAGGCAGGTGGATCACCAGAGATCAGGAGTTTGAGACTAGTGTGTCCAACATAGTAAAACCGTCTCTACTACAAATACAAAAAACATTAGCTGGATGTAGAAGTGTGCACGTGTAATATCAGCTACTCAAGAGGCTGAGGCAGAGGAATCGCTTGAACCCAGGAGGCGGAGGTTGCAGTGAGCTGAGATTGCTCCAGTGCACTCCATCCTGACAAGAGCGAGACTCTGTCTCAAACAAAAAAGAAAAAAGAAAACATCCTACTAACTGATATGTTTTTACTAGTCGAGTCTGCCTACTTCAGATTACAGATGATTTTAACTAAACTAAAAACCAACAGTTTGGGATGCTGACCCTCTTTGCCCTGTCGGCTGAGCTCAATGACTGACTTGTCGAGGCACAAGTAGCGATGAATGTGGGCTGCAGCTTGCTCATAATCTTCATTCCTCAAGGCAGTCTGAACTCCATCCATGCAGAACTTCAGGTCCAAGATGTCATCAGCTCTCTGAATGGCCTGATAGAGGCGGTTCTGCAAAAAGATTTGGTATTTAGAAACAATGTCCTATTCTTTCAAAAACACCTCCCAAGAAGGTAGGGAGATTCAGGAGCTGAATCTGGTCAACCATATGTCCTTTTAAGCTATCAAGAGCAATCTCACAAACACCACCACTACTATTAACATAACTGTTACTGATGATGATCAAGAGTATTGATAGTTATCACACAATTTTAATAACATGATCAAATCATTTTCTCTTTATTTCAGTCTCACTCTGTTGCCCAGGCTGGAGTGCAGTGGTGCAATCATGGCTCACTACAAACTCTGCCTCCTGGGCCTAAGTTATCCTCCCACCTCAGCCTCCCAAGTAGCTGGGACTATAGTCATGTGTTACCATGCCTGGCTAGTTTTTGTATTTCTTTTGTAGAGACAGCATTTTACCATGTTTCCAGGCTGGTCTCAAACTTCTGAGCTCAAGCAATCTGCCTGCCTTGGTTTCTCAAAGTGCTGGGATTACAGGTCTGAGCCACAGAGACCCACCTTTTTTTTTTTTTTGACACAAGGTTCCACTCTGTTGCCCAGGCTGGAGTGCAGAGGTGCAATCTTGGCTAACTACAACCTCTGCCTCCCGGGTTCAAGCAATCCTCCCACTTCAGTCTCCCAAATACCTGGGATTACAGGAGCACGTCCCTATAACCAACTAACTTTTGTATTTTCTGTAGAGACAAGGTTTTGCCATGTTGCCCAAACCCAGGCTGGTCCTGAACTCCTGAACTCAAGTGATTCTCTCTCCTTAGCCTCCCAAAGTGCTGAGATACAGGAGTAAGCCACCAGACCTGGCCTACTTCATTTTTTTTTTTTTTACCTAATTGCCCTGGATAGAACCATACAGCCACCAACTCACATATTAAAGTTTTTTTTTTAAACATGCTTCTTGTTCTAGAGACATAGTAGGAGAATGCACCCTTGTCTTGTTCCTCATCTTAGGAGGAATCACATCTTTTACCAGTAAGTATGATGTTAGCTGAGGGTTTTTTTTTTTTTTTTCCAATTTTTGTAGACACAGGGTCTCACTGTGTTGCTCAGTTTGGTCTCAAACTTCTGGCCTCAAGAGATCCTACTGCTCTGGTCTTTTGGTGTTAGGATTACAGGCATGAGATACCACACCTGGCCATCTGTGGTTTTTCACAGATGCCATTTATATAAAGGATGAGAAGTTCCTCTCTATGCCAAATTTGTTGAGTGTTTTTACCGTGAAGAGGCACTGAATTTTGTCAAATGTTTTCTTCTGAATCTATAAGGTGATCATGTGTTTTTGTCCTTTTTTCTATTAATATGGTATATTATTAGGTTGGTACAAAAGTAATTGTGGTCTTGGCCATTACATTTTTTTTTTTTTTTTTTTTTGAGACGGAGTTTC